TATCCCCCCTTTAAGGAGTTTAGAATATGGTACATCTATCAAAGAGGCCATTGCAAAGTTTATCCCTGGCCTCACGGCAAAGCGAGGACAACTGCGGGGCTTCATCTAAGGACTTTAGGAGGGACCCCTAATAGGGACCATCTATATATATATGGTAATGGGATTAAGGGTCCCTATTAGGGGTCCCTCCTAAAGTCCCTAGACTTCAGTTTTCAGTTTTTTTATGGGCACATCTTCGCAGTTTTTCACTTTAAAGTGCGTGCCAACTGACCCATTTCAAGTGTATGTTTTTTCCTGGGCTGCATTGCCCGGAGGTCTCCCACAAGAAACGATTCACAAGAGACTGAAGATCGATGAAGATTGCACTAAGTCAGTCGTTTCGGCTCATAAGTGCGCATACTGTCCGAGCATGGCAAATCTCCGCTTCTGAATATGACTATTATGAAGCCTGAAAAGAACCTCTCCTGTCATTTCCCGTAAGCCCCAGGCAGAACAGCTTCCGGCAGTGCACATCCAGCTTGACAGGAGCTGCTGGCCCTTCACACTTCTTAGCATGTCACCCTTTATTATAATCCCTTCTGCCTACTAGCTTCACTGCAACAGATCTGTCCAGCTGCCACCTCCGCCCACTGCAGCAGCTTTGCCAAATCGGCAACAGTACGGCCTGCTTACAAGGTTTGCAGACATGCCCTCGTGAGACCTGGCTCAATGTCAGGCCCTGCCTGCGGAGTCCGCCGCTGATGTCTTAGCGCCAGCAGCCAGAAGCGCCTGAAGCACCTCGGCAACTTCCAACCTTCAAGTTGAAAAATGCTGCATGTAAAATGGACTTCTGCAGATCTCAGTGGTTTGCACCAATGGATCGATGAACAACGGCTTGATGAAGCGCGGTCCTATCTTGAGATCGGCACACTTTGCAGACAAACAGGCAGCAGAAGCTCACATGCTTCGCATTGCTGCACCTTTGGAGTGGCCGACTCGTTGACTCCGGGTCAGCTTTTGCGCTTAGCAGCACCTGTCAACACATTGGAGAGGTCGGAGGATCGTATTGGCAGACTGTCCAGTTTGCCTCTGCAATCGACGAAAGCCCATGCTCTGCACCTGGGCAAGACTGGAGTTTTCTCAAATAGGACAAGATAGGAGGAATCACGAGACAGGTGCAGTGGTGAAGAGCTGTCTTGCCTGGAGTCAGCAGGCTTGATAGGTCTGCCCAACAAAGCTGTGGATGGCAAGGGATTGCGCATCTCAGACTCTGACCGCTTTGCCTGCTTTGTGCAAAGCTTGGGTCCTTGGCGGGGGATTTTAGAACTCTACAGTACCAGCAAATCAACGTGATTGCTTCTTCATTTCACGCGTTGCGGCTGGAGCACTGCACGCGCCCTGAGCAAGCTGCTGGCCACAAGGGTGGCCTTGGTGCTACAGAAGCACCTTGTGTTGAGTGCGTGCCCGTGCAGTATCTTTGCAGCCTTCCCGTTCACCATCCGCAAGGTGTCTTCAAATGACATGCTCTGGAAGGTCCTTGGTCCAGACGTGGCGCATTCTTCAAGGTTGCTACACGTTGATTCCACCCTTGGGTTCTGGCGGGCTGAGGAGCTTTGCCTCAGACTCCTGGCTCAAGAGCATGTGTAAATGTATCCCAGAAAGCCAGAAAGCAGGTCGCACAATGTCGAAGCCGTAGTAGTCTCGAAAAAGTCGCCCTGCGCACAGTGGGAGTCGTTCTGTCCAACAATTGTCATCAGGCATCCTGGCCTGCCATTCGGGGCTGCTGGAGCAAAGCCCGGTTCAAACCTCGCCATCTTGGGGAAAAACTCGGCACTGGCGCAGGCATTCTCAGACAGTGGCGGTGCTTCAATTGACCGACGCCCAGCACCACAGCAATCAAGGCACCTTAATCATGAATGATGGCATTTGGTCTCCTACCGGCTCCCTTGGCTACAAGAGGTATAAGGGCCTTGCGACTGGCTGCCCTGGAGAACTTGGCCTCTTCCTTGACAAGCCCGATGTCCAGCAGCACATTTACCTTGGTGATGATTCATGGCCTTTTTATTTCTGAATCACGATTGCTAGTTTTCAATCTTAGATCTCGTGCAGCTTGTCAAAAGCCTACAAAGAGAATCTCAGTGCCCTACCATGGCGGAGTCCAAGAAGTAGGCGGCTCGTGCCAAGTCAGCACCCTCCTAGCCGGAGCTGTGGTCCCAAGCACGAGCTTTGCTGAGCCCGTCGGGGTGCAGGGTTTGAGGGTTTTGCCTCCTGCGACTTCTCTGTTGCTTGCGCCCCGCTGGTTGCAACGAGCCTCAAGGTCTGCGCCACATCTGGCACCTGCCAACCACAAAGTTCACACAGTGACAACATGCAAATTCCAGTAGTTGCTTGTTGGCCATACATGCCATGCCTCTGGGTTTGAGGGAGATGGCGGCCTTGCAGTGGAGAGCCTCTTCTGCGATTCGTGCAAGTAGGGCGGCATCTTGAAACCTTCGGCGAGGACTACATGAAAAGGCAACATCTCCACCCCTTTAATCAGGTTCTCAAGCTGAAAGGTCTTAGAAGATCTTAGACCAAGGCCTGTTCCCAACATGATCAGCATTGAGCTGCGTCGCACTGCCAGCTCCACAATCGAGCCGAGCTTGACAGGGGAATCGCCCATGAATGCTGTGATCTCACCAGGTGCTAGCGCTGCACCTTCTTTGACGAGTAGCTCGGCAGCGAGATAGTCGCCAAGGTAGGTCGCTACCGCAAGCGCGCTGAAGCCGAACTCGTCCTTCTGACTTAGCAAGCTTTTGGGAATCGTCCTGGAAGACAAGTGGCCCTTCAGCACGCTTGCGCCGCGAGCTGTTGCAACCAGGAGATCTCTCAATTCGTCGGCTCTGGCATAGGCAAAGGCCAGCGCCAGGACCAGGCGTGTGCTTACCATGGCTCACAGAGCAGATGCTTGCCGTCATCCTTTCTTCCAGAACTTCACAGAACTCAGCTGTATAAAGGAGATGTTGGCACTTCCAAAAACTTTTCTTAGAAAAATCGAAACATGGCACACTAAGGTGTTTGCTAATCTAGAAAATTGATTTGTGGATCTTATCACCTGTGCGTACTTGCCGCTGGGAGGTTAGGCTTTGCCAATAATACTCAAATGCGAAAGCTACATGTCTCACGCTCTACCTACCAGATGTGTTGTGCCATCATCAGCAATGATGCGGATGGGACAGCTGCAACTGCGAGCCATCCAAACAATCCCTGGCGATTCTTAGGATCAAGGGGGGCCATAACATATGCCGAACCCCGAGAAGCAAATGCAACCCAACATAGGCGCCCTACTGACTCCCGGGGAAAAGGTCGGGGCGCAGCAAAGCAACTGGGTCAGCATAAACAATCCCACAAGCTTGGACAGAAAGAGCATATACAAGTACCCAGCTGCAGAACACTCCAGTCCGCTACGATGCACCGTGGGCGCGCTGCACAAGGTTGCTTCGTGACCATGGCCAGCACAACAAGCTTTGCAGCCAACATCATCGACCCCCTACGGAGTGTGGCTACCAAGGAATACCCGCCTCTTGAGGCGCTTTCACATGTCTTTTCGGTTTCGGTGATCCTCATGGAAGGTTCTGTTTGCGGTGGTGCTGGCGGTGGCGGTGGCGGTGGCGGTGGCGGTGGCGGTGGCGGTGGCGGTGGCGGTAGCAATGGCGGCGGCAGCGTGATGCTGCTGCTGTTGCGGCAGCGGTGGCATGCTGGTGCTGGTGCTGCTGCGTCTCCAATATGCTCTCCAACTGTCAACTGTGAACATCAGAACTTCGGAAACCGCCCCGAGTAGTCCTGCCCTGCGCCTCAGCCTTGGCTCTCGCCTCAGCAACGAGGGCTTGAACCAAACATTAGGGGCTTTGAGTAGTCAGGATTTGGACCTCTTCTGGGTGTATGAAGGTGACCACCATTTATTGGATTTGTCCATGTGGGTACGTGCCCGCATTCAGGTCCAAATTGGAGCCTAACGCGTGACTTGTAGGGACAACTGAATCAAAGAAGCCGCTACTTAGACACGCATCTGACATCATGGCTGCAAAGTAGAATTTCGCAAGACTTCCGTCCAGCTTAAATTCTGCAGCATGCTGCCACCCACACTTTTTGACACGAAGAACCCTCGCTTGTGCGGGCGAGCTTTTTGGAGGCCTCGCAGCACTCCATATGATTCTTGACAGCTGCCATGCAGCTGTCGTGCGTTGAGACTTGGTTCCAAGTCTCTGGCTTCGGGACATTATCGTCTGTACTGCTTTGAAATCTGCAGCCTAGAAAAATTGAGAAAGCCTAGCGCCAGCGCATGCTTCGGACGCGCTTGCTTCCTAATATTAACGTTTGCAGTTGGTTCATCAGAAACTGATGGCATTTGCCAACTGTACAGCATGTACATGAAAGGGAAGCATTTCAAGAGTCTGCTTCGGTTCAGGCCAGCCCACGAACCGCACCATTCCTCTCCAACCAAGAAGCCTTGGTGTGGGCAGAGGATGGTGCAAGGGGTGTTTACATGCGGCAGTTAGAACCTAGGAGCTCAAGAACATCCACCTGCCAGGCGCACCCTGCGTAAGGCCCTCGTGCCAGTGATGAAATGAGGGCCCCTTCGAGCCCTCATCTATAGCCTTTACTTAGCAGACTCTAGATGTTCAGCTAGGGGCAGCGTCGGGGTGCTCTTGGTCCAGGGCCAAATCGAGGGCAGTCGCTCCGTCTCCACGCTTGACGTTCAAATCGCAGCCCGCAGACTTCAGGAACTCCAGCGCCTTCAACCGCAAGGCGAATGAACACGTGAGGAGTGGCAGTTGAAATAGAATTAACTGCTTAAAGTTCTACATGCCCTTTGGCAACCCCAGTTTCCATTGACTTTATCAAGTTCTCTTCCATGCAATTCTGCATTGTGGGGGTAATATCCACATGTACCTCTTTGTAACTCCTAGGTAATCCTTTTGCAATCGGTATATTCCCTGCAGATTGTTTCTGCCTGGGTCTGCCCAAAGGATGCTGCTACGTGGAGCGGATGGAGGTCCAAGGAGACATCGCCCGCTGCCGACAATGAGAAAGCGGGAGCTGTTTTGGCCTCATATGAGCTACAGTCTAAACTCCTAGGATCCCCCTTAAGAAAGTAGGAGTGCAGGGTAGGTAGAACTTCAGCAAAAAGGCAAAAAAAGCCTCTGACCACGTTTAAAGAACCGTCGAAGATATCAAAACCTACGCTGCTGTGGAAGTGTCCAAGGCTGGATGATTTTTTAAATGTCCGCCACAAGCCCTCAGAAGCTTGAAGCACGCGAATTGCAGACGTGGTTCGTTAATGTCAGCTCCATTGTTATGGAGCCACCTCAAGTTCCTCAGAACACTTGCTTTGGCCACAGCGCACGCGGCATCTAGCTCTGCTTAGATTTCAGAAGCATGTCTGTCCTAATCATATTGGACATTGCATACTGGTGTCGGGGGTTGCTGTCATCTTGCTTACCAAAGCGTCTCTACGTGGCCTGCCTCTGCAGCGTGGTGGGTCGCCCTCTCTCCTGCAACAGCCACGCATCCGCTCTCAGGTTGTTGCCTCAGCCGCACTAGCTTTATGCTATGCTGTTGCTAGGGGGGCTTGCTAACTTGAACATGTACGCTTTACGCTGCAAGTTTCAGCCCTCAGTCCTGTGTCCCGCAATGGTGCCTGGCATTTGCAGACAGGTTTACAACTCAGACATGATAGGAGCATGTGATACAAACATGCTTCTCCGCTTGTTCCTCCTCCATAGAACATCGCGGCACTGTTTCTTACTAAAACTGTTGCTGACAAGACAAAAAAATTGTCAGTACTAGCACAAGCACATGCGCCACTACTACTCTTCCTCTACCACGAATACTACCGCCACCACCACCACCGCCGCCGCCGCCGCCGGCGCCGCTGAAGCTGGGACAGGTTAGCTTTCTCCTCTCCTGTGAACATGGCAAGCATTGAAGAGGAAGCCACCAGGACCCCACTCCAAGACTCGCCAGGTGCACGTCAATCGCACCCAGGATGTTCTCTGTCTCACGCAGCAGTTCGCAAAACCTTACAAGTGTCATAGCGTTCCCGCTGCACTCAGTACAAGGAGGCAACAGACAATGCTCACTAGATCAGGCTCAATTCCTCAGTTGAGCAAAGAGCCGCTTCCAAGCTTCCAAGGCCTCAAGGTCGCCTTCCTTTCAGGCATGGCACATTCACTCTGCTGGATCAGGCCCATCGCGACAAGTCGTCTAACCAAGTCTAGGAGGCATGGCCTTGGCGTTCACAAACGCAAAGTGGTGAGCTTCCACAACCTGCGGGTGCAACTGATGCATGGCGAATGAACGCTCGGCACACGTCATGAAATTGAGATGCACACCTCCGGCGTCAGGTCTGCGTCGAAGAGCCGACCAGCGCCCTCCTGAATACAGCACATGCTACCTCGCAACCTACCAACACGCGGTTTTTCAGCCGCACCTTTGCAGCCTTCGATTGCGCTTCAGCTGCATTTGCTGCTTCGCAGAACCTGAGTGTCCAAGCCGCTGATGGATTCCGACTTGGACATGCTTCCAACCGATAGGACAACAAACACTTGTCATCCCGAGAGAAAGATGAGGCAAAGGATCCCTCGAAGTCTTTATCGATGCTGGACGTGGTAGTCGGTAGTCCAGTCCATATTTCTATTTCAAGATCTGAAGTTTCGATATCCCTAGCTCAGGCGTTCCATTTACACGCACCCGGTCTGCGCATCTTGCTGGGGCAGCTGCCTTGCAAATTTTGGGTCATCGTAAAAGGGGCGACCTGCCAGTGAGAATCAACGCAAAAACCTGACCGGAAGCAATGCTGTGCTGCCTTGCATGGTCTCACCATGCTCACAACGCCACTTTAAGAGTTGAAGCTGCTCTGTGGATAGCTTCGAAGCCATCGCCGCCTCAGCTGAACTACAGCCATGCAAAATGATGCGAGAGGGGCAGATGCTGTGGGGTTTCAGCAGCTTGCGACGGCGTGATTTCAAAGTAGGAAGGTCAGCGCTCACGCAGAATAGCCCAGAAATGATGCAACCAGTACCACATTTCATTTCACCAGCATATTGCCCACCCTTGCTTTTCCGCAGCGCTTTTTGAAGCCTTTCAAGGAAATGCAAAAGAGTTCGCCCTCAGGCCTGGACGAGAATCCGAGCTGCAGCGCGGGGCTGCAAAATCTACAGCTTGATAGATAGGGCGGCGGTTATGCAACATATGCAACAGCTTTCCTGAAATTCCTGAAAGCAGACTCAAAGAATACCCTGCCTGCATTAAAGACCTGCTCAGGTCCGCGCAATGGCCGCTTCTCGATCAAGCCGCGCTTGCTCTTGCAGTGTTCGTCGCTTCTCCTGCACTTGAGATACATGGAAGCTGCCCGTCCGTTTCTTGCCAGAATGAAGCCCGACGTTGAGTCCTCTTCCAATTCCAAGTTATTTCGCTTTCGCATATCTTCTTGCCGAAGAAACTGTTCATGCCTTGGAGAATTCCACAACACGTTGCAAAGAAGAGCTCCGACCTGCTGGTAAAGCAGAGGGCATGGCTGCATTTGCAACTGCTGATCAATCTGCTTCTGCTGATCCTGACAGCTGCTTTCAAGACCATTGCTAAGCAACTCTACAGATTATAGTATAATACAGTATAATAGAATATAACGTGATACAGTATAATATGATACAATATACTGTTAATCTGATATTCTGCTCACGCCTAAAAAGTTGCCAGGGCAAGTCTACATCGGGGTCCTCAAGCTTGCTCTGATAGAGCTCGCTGTCCAAACGAGCCTTGTAGAGAGTCAGGTCTGTTTTCTGAAGCCCCAAAACCCTCAATATTTGAAAATTTGGGTTAATATTGGGATAATGGAAAAGAAAATGGAAACTTCTATAAAATATTGGGGGATTTGGGTTATAGAGGGAATATGGCTTTGGGTAATATATACCCTATAATCCCTATAGAACCCATTATAGTAGTTTCCATGTTATTCTCCATTATCCCTTATTACCCTAGCCCAAAAGAACCTCATGATTTGCTTGGGGGCACCTTGTACTCTGCTGTCCTTCTTTCCTGCTCCTGCTGGTGTGAGATGGTCTTCCTGTTGCAGCCAAGCCCCTCCGCTCACTAACATGAGTTGCAAAGAAGCTGCACTCAGAATCAGCCTCTTCTCCTCGGCATCCATCTGATTCCGCTGGAGCATTGCCTGTGCATCCCACATGCGGATGCGGGCTCTTGCTTCAGCTCCTACAGGAGGAGGCATCTCGGCTTGCCTGCTGGCGCATTGTCTGTTGCTGTTCGATCTCCTTCTGCAGCTCCTGAGCGCTCGCAAATTCCAAAGGGGAGGCGGCCTAGTTCCGCAGTCACGTGCTGCCAGCGTGAAGGTTTAAAAGAGCTAAGTTTTGGCCGAATGCGAGGACAGGACAGTCTGGAAGCCAGGAGTTTAAATATTGAGGCAAGCAAAACCCCTGAGATGGGAGAGGTGAGGGGCATTATGTCTTGTTGGCGATTGAGGAAGAGGCTCAACCATTCTGGAAGGTTGTCTGAAGCTCTCAAGCAAGAAGAATTCGCATGACTCTGCACTTGACATTCAAACTCGGAGGCGCGCAAGGATCGTGTACGATTCTAAGTCTCCAGAGGTAAAACATCTCAAATGGGCTTGAGAATCTCCATGTCAGGCTCATCTCGAATGATGTACTTTGACAAGCCTCTCATTCCTTCTGCTCTTCGTCACAATGTTTCAAGCTCAAATGCCCTGAGATCCATGCTTGCATGTCATTCCCCATATCATATTTCCTGTCAGCTGCGAGATGTCTTAAGTGGTCCTGCTGCTTCGTCTGCTCAGCCATCTTGGTGAGCTCGAAGGCCTGCCGCTACTTTCGAATAACTCTCGTTGACAATTTTGCGATTTGGTATTCTGGGTGTTGCATGTGCAAAGGTCTTTTTAGCATTACCATCGCTTAGCATCCTTTTTGATACAACGGTCACTCGTATCTTTCTTACGCGTCTCTCCTTCTTTCCATTGTCCAGCCCAAAAATGGGAGCGATTTCTTTGTGATGAGCGATTGTCTTTGTGATGGTGGATATGCCGACATTATGTGGGCTTTCCAAGCATTGAGCGCGGCAAGACGTTGATCAAACTTTGACTCCATCATGCAGAACCCAGGGGAAAGGACTCCGCATCATAAAGCCGCGAAACCTTAAATTCCTTCTCAGGCGTATGCACGCCCTCTAGTATATAGAATACATACTTGATGGACCCACATGCCACAGTGTCTTCCAACAGAATAACCTTCGTATGAGTTGTATAAATATGCAGCACAAGCTTTGGAACTTGGAGAAGCATGACGCCTTTGTGGCATTGGGAGAAGTGTCAAGCTCTCGCAGGGCCTCGGGAAACATAACGACATGCTGGCGAAAACTTTGCTTTGGGTGTTATTGAAAGCTTTTTCCTGCTTGCTAGTACAGGAGCTTCAAGATCTTGAAGATTGATTAATTGTTGCGCTTGTTGGTTGCTCAAATGTCAAAGGCCAGCGAGGTCATCTAAGCTAGGGGCTGCAGCCCCTCTCTCCAGGGCAGAAGGGTCAAACTTGCCCGTGATGGACTCCGCCTGGCTTTGACATGGTTTCATCAGATCCTCCTGGGCTGGTTGGGATGAGGCAAGCAAGCCCTATTGATTTTTGTAGTTGCAGTCGCACAGTCTCCGTTTCTGTCGCCTTCTTGTCATCTTTGGCGGAGCTGCTAGAACTTTTCGATGGGTAAATCCTGTCATTCAGCGAATACAAGCCGATGCAAGGGAGCAGTGTGCAAGCAGGCAGGCATGGACACTGGCCATGTGCCATCACGAAACATGCCGGCATGGCATGGCAGCAAGCTTTGCACGACACACGTGCTGTCAAACGGACTAGCGCTTGGATGGTGCTGGACTCTGTTCTGCTGCAGTGACTGATCGGCACGTGTGCTGCTGACTTGCTACACTTTGTTCGGTGGCAATCAATGCTCGAGCCAGGCAAGTGTTTGTTGGTGTGTAATTCTGCCAACCTGTTAAGTAAGTAGCCTGTCCGAGACAACTTCAATGCTCATCCTTCGACAGGCCAGCCATGGTCATCACAGGCCTTTTGCACGCACAAAGCCATTTGCGAAAGACTTCCCAGCTCGATTGATCTGTTTCACCAACCAGGCTCTCGGGTGCTAGCTACATGCTGTGGGCACATCAGCGTTGATCGATGAATTCAGAAATGTGGCAGTTTCCCTTAGTATGGGACCCCTATACAGACCTTAACATATCATAATCCTTGTTCTGGGGAGCCCCCCAAAAAGCTCGCCATGCCAAAAAAGACTGCCCGCAAGCAAAGCGCTAAATTGTGAAACCGGCGGCAGAGTGCCACCACGACCTCTTAATGTTGCGCGTAATGGTGAAACGAGTGGCTGCACAAACTGTCACTAATGCGGAGATAATTTGTTTCTGATAAGCTGCTACTAATTACTGATGCTGGTGTTGACCAAGCCTGATAATTACAACGGCTGGGCGAGGTGATCTGCTTCGCAGGCCACCGACATGTGGCAATGTTCGCTGAGCATTCACACTGCCAACCTGCAGCTCCACCATTATTACTACGATTACTATCATTATTACTCCTATTACCACTACTAAGATGCTAATAACTGCTACTATGCTTGCTGTTTTGACTATTATTACTACTATGATTATCTTACGATTACTACTATTCTTACTGTTATGGCTTTTACTCACTTACTAGTAGTACTACTTTTACTATTGCTACTATACTTACCATTACTACGAGCTTACAGTCTTCAAAAGCAGAGCGAAGCTCCTGGAACAGCTAGTGGAGCAGGCTGAAACCTGAGCCCTAAACTCCTTAAATGGAGCCCCTTTTACAGGGGATTACAGGGTTTATGGGGGATTACAGGGTTTATAATAGGGTTTAGGGTTTGGGGGTTTATGGAGGGGATTATGTAGCGTTTAGAGTTTAGGGTCTAAACTCCTTAAAGGGGGTTATATAGAAGATTGTATGGGTTACTATTATGGGGCTTTTTGAGGAGGGTAGTAGGAGTCATATAATCCAGCACTAGCAGAAAGACGCAGCTCAGGGGTTTAGGCTTTGGGGATTAGGGTTTCCCAAGATAGTTGTCCCAAGAATGAGGATTAGAATATGTTTGGGTCTACATTGGGGTCCCCCTATTTAGGGTACTTGCCACTCATTCCCTATAAGTTCCCACTGGAAGATGGCCCTCTTGCAGCTGCTGCCTTTGCTGTCGCTTGGACATCACCTTCTGGGTTGTGGCCGAGCTGCTAATCCTGTATTCTTGCCACTGGCGGAACCTTCGCAGGGGGTTTGCATCCCCAGTCTTCGCAGAAACATGGGGGTTTCCCAAAATTAGGGGTCCTTTTTAAAGGGGTTATAGGGGTTATATAGAGGTTATATTGGGATATATAGGGTTTAGGGTTTCCCAAAATTGGGGGTACCATTTTGGGGGTTCCCATAATAAGGACTATAGTATTTTGGGGTCTATTTTAGGGTCCCCTAATTTTGGGAAACTACCACATGAGCAGGATCCACGCCTGCTTTCTTTCGCCGGGGAGCTTTGCCTTCATGCTTTGAACAGCCTGCTCAGTTCGCCCATTCAACCGATTCCCGATGCTTTCGCATGCTTGCGGTATCCATCCCTAGTCACTAGTCCATACAACTTCAAAAAAGATATGCAATGTGGCTTCTCATGGGCAGCAGGCAGATGTGGAGAGCCTCGGCATTCTTGGTGTTCAGGTCATGAAGTCGCCGAGTCTGCTCAGACTCAGCCTATCAAGTTTTCGGACGATGTCCGACCTGGTGATGTCTTTAACAGAAGCCCTGCCTCCCCTCCGAGTGGGTGCAGCTCGCCATCTATGGAGTCTGAAGACCATGGGCCCTTGTATGCTGAGCCGTCTGCGTAGATGTACCTCTCACTGAATCACGTCACAAGCAAATGGATGGAAGAGCCACTGCTGGTGGGCTACAACCACATTCCTTTACAAGAAAGGCCTGACAGAGCCGTCTTCCAGTTACTGGCCTACAAATGGCTACAACCTCAGAGTAAAGCGCACACCATCCCAGGGGCACATACCATCACCCTCCTTTTGCCCGGCGCGTAGACCACCGATGTACTTGTCTCCGTTTGCAAAGAGGACGATAGATTTACCTGCAGAAATTATCGAATCTCGCATCAGCAAGCTTCACCAATACCGGGACAGATTTCAACCGATGCAGCTGCATCTGCAAGCGTACAGCTGCTTTAAGCCTTGCACTCTATTGGCTAGTATCCTTCGTTCCTTTACGAATTCTTGGAGCCGGAGGCTGGCACGGAAGCTTAACTGCGTCCTTTTGGGCCGCGGCAGTCCCCAGTGCCGGACAACTCTTCTGCTAGCCTGAGCAAAACAGACGGGCCAGAAACACATCGGATCATGCGTCATGCGCTCGATTTGCACCCCAGATTGTGCTTTTTGCGTCTGCACCGCAGAACTCGAAAACACCTACGGATCGATCCACTTGGCCACCGTACTTCATGGCGTTCAAGCCCCGATCCAAGACATGATCTGGGATTTCTTGAGGTTGGAAGCCAGGAGGGTGCTCTACAGATGCAGCCCGGCGGAAGCTCTCCAGGAAAACTTCCTGACCTCGGCCTTGAATGCGTTTGGGATCCGTGGTGATGACAGCGGCACCGCTTTTAGCAGCAGCGCCGAGATGCCTTGCTAGGGTTTCGGCAAAGATCTCCTCGTAAAGCAGGTCAGAGGCCACCACCACGTCTGGCTCCAGCGACAAGAGGCTCTCTGGAGAGTCCCGAAGGATGTCGAAGACTCGCGTGGAAATTTCACCCCCTCGCTGCTTCTTGGCAGCGGTGAGCACCAGCTGATGTGCCAGAGGCGAAACATCTGTACTTATCACGCGCACTCCATAGCGATGGGCTGCCAGAGAAGGAAGGCCCGTCCCACAGGCCAGTTCCACGACGAGTATATCTCCTTAGGTAGAGGAGACAATTGGCTCACTGAATCAAATGAGGCAAGCTTTAACTGAAAATACTGCAAGCCATGCACGGGGCGCTCGCCCAGCAGCCACTTTCTTTCCTATTGCGCGGAGGACCGCGCAGGCTGCTAGGAAGGATGCGGGCCAAAACAAACCGCTGTACCTTGACATCAGCGACGCCAGAAAGATACAGTGAGTTGTTCTTTTCAAAAGCAGTGGCTGTTAGGGACAAGTTGCAGCATGCTGGAATACATGGAAGCACGCATCTCCAATCCAGAGGCATCTGTGCTGCTCGAAGGGCTTGGTGGAGTGTACTTGCGTGTAACGTACTGAAGCAGAGACGCCAGCAACCCAACATCCCCAAGATTTTGAAGCTGAACCACGGCCACCGGTTCTTGGAGAACCGTTGGATCGAATGAGACAGTGAAGCTCTCAACCTCCAATGGCAGGTCGAGTCTCTGAGGTTTTACCTGCCCTTATCTTGCCATGAAATTACTAAATCTCATGCTTGAGAAAAACATGCTCATCCCACCTTAGGGACGAACTCATACTCGCCATACTTTGCTTGCTCTGCTGTTCTTGCGAGGCCGAACACGTCAAGACCTTGAAGGCTCGAAAGCAGCCACAGCGGCACCTGCACGCGTGGAACGTAAGATCTTTCACTCGATTACTTTGGTCGCGCCTGCGGCAGCATGTCCTGCAGCCCCGAGAACCCACGCCAGAAACGCTGCCTCACTCTTCCACAGAAACTTTACCTGGAATGTGGGCTCAGGCATGCGAGGGCCTGGAGCTTGTGCGGAGGTAGACCTCGCGCTTTACATAGAAGCGCTGCAGCTTTCCTGACACATCAGCTCTGATCTGCTTGTGAACCTGACGAAGGCCCCTTCATTCCAGCATATGATGCAGCTGCACCCTCCTTCCAGGGGTAGCAAGGGATCATCCTCCCGGAGTACCAAAAAATCATCATCCACAAAGCTTACGGTCCTAAGTCAGCTTCCATCAAGAGTTCGTGCCGCTTTCATGCATGCTCAGTGCTTTCCAGGACACACGCGGGCAGACTCCATTGCCAGTTTTGGTGGAGTTTGCAATGCCAGACTCAGAGGTTTCCTACCAGTCCTTGACCGCAAGGTGGCAAAATGGGTTCACCTCTTGCTCCATCACCATGAGGCAGTCACGGAAGCTGAGCGCCCGTCCAAGTCTCCGCGTTGCCGGCTGCATCACTAACCGTTGCATGGCATTCCAGCTCCATTGTGGTAGTGATTTCCAGCCATACCTTGCCACAAGTAGCTTTCAGTCTGCCAACTTGCGGCTCCTCTACTTCTACTTGAACTATCCTACCGGTTGCTGGTCAGGGCACCGAACGTAAAACACGGTCTTGCAAAGCTTCGCCAAAGCAAGCGGCGATCCTTTGGAGCGCGGAAGATGCGGTCTTTGCTGGCCCATTTTGCTTACACTACCACTTGCGCCATTGAGAAACCGCTGCCGGGAGGCAAGATAGGTGGACGGGAGCCGGTGGTGTCTCCTGCCAAGGTGTCCATGCATTCAGCTGGATGAAAGCCATGCGCATTCATTCGCTCCTATCAGTGTCCAATGCCCAGGAAGCAGTTTCTCAGGAGTTTCCACAGTCAAAGCTTCCAGCTCAGAGATCTGCGAAGCTACATCCTCCAAGTTGCCAGAGCCGGCAAAACAGCCGAAATATCGCAGCAGGTTGGCTTTTGCCTCTGCAGAATCCCGCCTTGACCTAGTGGCGAGTCTTCTTGCTTTACTCCGGCACCAAAGCTTCGGAAGCCTGTTGCTCCTCCAGTCCGCGCACATCTGAAGCAGATGTCTCTGGTGATAGAGGCCACGCAGTTGCACTGGTCGCGTTGCGATCTTGCGAAGCGGACTTGATGTGGCCAACATGAATGCAGCAGAGGAAGTGGAGACTTGCACGTTGTTGGGGCTGGCGCGGCTACATGAAACAGCTTGCAGTCTCACGCTCAATCATTGAGCTGGCATGGAGCTCAACATGCTCAACAATACAGGTGCGCGACCCGGGCTGTAAACATGGGTCCATCAGCAAGTTTTCTGAACTCCTGGTATGCCAAATTCTCCTCCCTGTTCGACAAGAAATTAACTTTCTCAGTATCAATGGAAACCATTCTTGGATTCAAGGCCTTTACACAACGGGAGCGCTTGAAAAAATGAAGGGTTGCATTGCATGTATGCACGCGGAATACATGTCGTTTTTGCTCAGGATGCCTGAGAATCAAACCCACAAAGTTGAGAAACAGGGTTTATCCACCCTAGACCCTCAATAGTAGTTTCCATTGTTCCAATAATCCCAATGTATCCCAATTTTTCCCTAAAACCCTGAATCCTAAACCCTAAACCCTTCCTCCCTCCTGCCAAGGCCACCGCGTATGCGGAATGGCATCGGGCTGTCTGGATGCCACAAAGACTCTCCTTGGATCCAGCACTCACCTCCCACCACCAGAAGACATGGCCATCTATTTTCTCACGACACACACCAGGACATATGAAGACCTCTGCTTTTAGCTGAGCATTATAAACCACCACTTCTCGTCTCCTCTGTGCCTCTGCCACCAGAAAACCTACATGACAGCGCTTGAACAAACCTGGGAATAAGGGAATATAGGGGCAACATAGGGAGGGACTTTATAGGGTTTATACAGGGGAGCAGCGCAACAGCCCGGAATCCCTGAGGTGAGAAAACTATGACATGACATGGTCGTTGCAACGACCTCAGCTTGCATTATTCATTCGCAAAGGGCCATGCGGAGGCCTTAATTTCAATTCAAACGCTGAGAGAACAGCAATATAGCCCAGCTAGACACAACATCAGCATAAAGGGATACGCAATATCAGGAGGGGGTGTTTATCAATGCGTTCAGAACAGATTCGATGCTGCTGGAGCTTCTGCATCCACAAAAATCGCACATGTCTTTCTATGCGCAGCAAAGATGTTTGTTAAATTGCTTTTGCTAGTGCAAAGAATTTCATCACACCCTGTCCAATCTTCTTGCGATGGTCACTCACAAGTCGTTGCTATGTAGCTTTGAGCACCTTTGAACAAAAATGGAGAATCAAATGGAAAAGAACATGGAAAATGACATGGAAACCGTGGGTATATATGGGTTCTGTAGGGCTCCATGTAACAGCCCCCTGACGCGTTTTTCTTGTACTCAGGCCCTCGGGATAGACAAGTGGGGCTTTCCCAAAGCAAGGGCCAGGGATATGGAGATGCTCCTCATTGTCAGGGTCCCTCTGAATAAATATATCAGGGTTTCTCAAAATTTGGGGTTCCATTTTGGGTGTCCCCATGATAAGGATTCTAATATTTGTAGGTACCGTATGAGGGCTATTTGATTCGAAAACTCCAATGAACTCTGCTCGTCAAGGTGCTGCTCCGCAGGACCGCGAGGATCCACCTGCGCAGAATGCAAGGCCTCCCTTGCAAAGGATTATCATACATGTGACAAACACTCGCCTTTTTAATCTGTGCTGCTTTCAGCCAAACTCCTTCTATCAGCACAAGTGTTGTAGTTAAACTCGTCCCAAGCTGACCATGTCAACATCAAATCTCATTTCGCCTCACTGCCTGTGTTAGAGGCCTGTGGCTTCTGCAAGGGAATTTCAGCAAAACACGAGTTAAGCCCTCCCTCCTTCAGACTTAGCACAAAAAACAAGAGGCTCCTAACCTACATGTGGGCAATGTCTGAAATCCTAGTATCCCCCTTTACAAGCCCTATACTAGTCCCTAATACCAGTATAATCCCCTATATAATCACCTTTAAGGAGTTTAGACTACAGCTCATGTGACATTGGATCATGTCAGGTGCTTCAACAAAAACCGCTTAGTGTCCAGGTGATGCTCGTATGTCACTGGGCATTTCTTCTCAGCCTTCTTTGTTTCCACAGATGGCCCTTCTGCTGGGTTGCTATCATTTACTATAAACCCGTATGAGCCATAGTCTAAACTCCTAGTATCCCCCTTAATAACCCCTAGAGGAGTCCCCCATACAACCCCTAAACAAGCCCCTTAAGGAGTTTAGATTATGGCTCATATTATGGTAACTTAGTTTAGGTTAACAGCAACCCGGTCTAAGAGGAGCTTATTCAGGGCCTCCGCAGCGGAGACGATCATCTCTATGAGCTCTTCCTGGAGCCTGACGCTCCACAAAAAAGGAAAATCAAGTGCTATGGTCTTGTAATATTACAGTGTTATAGTGCTTTGTTTCTGCAATATTGTAACATATTGTAACGCTATGGTGTAACATGTCGCGAACGTTTCGCTTTCAACATGGCCCGTGATTCAGGCTTCGTTCCTCTGCGCAGGGATAGAACGGTGAACAATTCATTTCCAATTGACGGTGACAAATTACGAAGCTGCACATGGGAACCATGACCCTCAGACTCAGAGGAGGCCTGCCGTTGTTCCACACACCGACCACCCGGGTTCCGCTCGGGTCGGTCAGGACACCACGGCCGTGCTCCTGACAATAACATGAATCGCTACAGGTCCCATGAGTGTAAATTAGTAACAGTAGTAGTAAGGGTAATAGTAAACTAACAACACTACTATTAATGAGAAAATACTAATAATAACAAGCTTTGTAGCAATGATAGTAATAGTAATGATAGTACTACTACTAATGATAATAAGAATAACATCCTTTGGCTTTACATCCATGTCCCATCCTGGTCTTCCAGAAGCTCACCTACGTAGACCAGTCCGTTGGTGTAGGTCTTCTTTCCGACCTGCGAGTTTGCACGAGATTGTCCGAAGTTCAGCCAGAGCTTCTCAGCCCCCTCTAGCCTTACTACAGACGTTGTTTTCAAAGACTCCTGTCAGCGTCACGCCAGAAGACCACCTCAGGAAGGCACCAGCAGTCAATCCACTGTGGACCACACTTGAGTGCTTGCGCAAAACGACCCTGAGGGTGTTGCGTGTAACAGCCCAGGCCGTTGAACAGCGAGTCCTGTCAACTTGTTGAAATGAGAAAGCTATCCGTATGCAAACGCAGCGCGCAACTCACATCACAGGGGCGCCTTGAATTCTCCTGTGTACTGGTCGTTCGTGATGAACGTGATTGTTCCTCGACCCTGTGCGAGCAGGCTTTTGCCAGGTGAAAGCCGCTCTGATGCAGATTGCCTCCTAGTGGTAACCACGGCAAATCCAAAAATATGTCATGATGATTATGATGGCGATGATGATGACTTTGCCTGATGATGGCGATGGTTATGATGATGCTGATAGTGATGATGATACATGGAGCTGGCAAAGAACTCCCGGTGCTGGAATTTGAAAAACGGTCTTCGACATGACAGCTTGCCTTAAGCAGGGCTGTCATGCATATCAATGAGCCTCCATGTTGCCCGCGTGGAACTCACCCGAGTAAATCGAGCCACAGCTTGTAGTCAGCGTTCCCTGGTGGTCCAGCAATGCTCACAAGACTATAGCCCCTCGGAAGGATGACGCGATGCAACGTCACATAGCTTTTACTTTCTTTCACTATCTTCATCTTCTTTTCAAGGCTACGCTGCCCTGAAAGGGATGCTAAGGCAAAGCTTGTCAGCCATTGCAACTGTGTCTCCAGGCAAGTCCCATCGCGCTCAAGGTATCACGCGCCGATTGATCTACGAGCTCATCAAATAAGTGGTGCATCAGCCTGCAGTACCCCCTTGCCACCTTCTCAATATCTCAAGCCTTGCAAGAACCACCTTTGGAATTGCAAGTCTCGGAAGATCGCTCCCCCTCCCTGCGTTTGTTACCAGAACCCGCGCCTGGCCACTCATCTCCCCGAATTGCCACTGACCACGGTATATGTTGGCCTGTGGACGGTTCAGCTGTGAGGCATGAATAGAAGATACAGCCATCACACCGGCTTTGCATGGTTAAGCCTTGTCTGGCCATTCGAATGTGCCTTCACCGTGGTATAGGCCGTTGAAGAACCTCACATTACCACAGAAGCTTCAGTTGCCGCTGAACTGCTGAACAATCTTGTTCTGGCAGATACCACAACCCTCAACAAGCATCTATCCTGAGGCCATGGCTCACCTACATATCTGGCCTGCAGACAGCAACAGTCTCGCAGCCCACAAGAATAGCAGCCTCGGACCTTCACGGACCACTCCAACACACCGTGCCCTTGAAACACGTTGTGCTCGAAGGAGCCCTGCGTTTCAAGAGAATTGAAAAGCCTGGCCTCGGTTGCCTGAAGAACACTTGCAGTATGTTGCAGTCCTTGTACCGGCACACGCCGAAGTCATCCGTCCAGCAAAGCATGCCCTCGCCGTGCATCATCTCATCCTGCAGGGTGGCTGCTGCTTGGTCTGGATATGTCTAGCTGGGCCAGGTCACTCTGACCTGGAACTGGCCAATGTAGCGTCGCCCATCTGGCCACTGGAAGACACCGTACCTGGGAGTCATCATCATGTTGAAAACTCTTTTTCTGCCAGGCGGCATGGCGCACTTGTGAATGCTATTGTTCAGGAGGGTGCCTGGGCTTCCGGGTGACCCAAGAATTGCGCAGATGACCCAGTAAACTCAGCATCAAGCCTGTGTACATGCATCCGTTGGCCCACTTCTTTGTGCCCTTGGCGCAGAATTGCTGGACAAATGCTTGGGATTGCACTGGCAGTCTCATGTATCTGGGCCTCCCCAGTAGCTCCATGATTCTCAAAGACGCCTGTAATCATGGTGCCGTTGGGGAACCTGTCACCAATTCAGTACTTGTTCTGATGCTCATGTAGCAGCATTAAGGAACATGAAGGAGTCATTCCTGCCTATGACAGCCCGGGCCCACAATCTCACTGTTGTGCCAGAGGCCTTCAAATTCAGTACCTCAAATCCAGCAGAAGAATGTCGACACTTTTGGCTTCATCCAGAAGTTTCTGCGGACTGTGGCTTGGAATATGGATCTGTATATGTGTAGTTGTGTATTTGGGAGATGTGTACACATGTATATAACGTCTCCCAATTAGGATCCTCCCAGAAATCTCATACTTCCACCAAACTTTCCAGGCGTAACAATCACACATACTCCCACACAACTCTTCTACATCACAGCAAAAGCAACCTATGTTTCAATGAACACATATGAGCTGTAGCCTAAACTCCTAGTATCCCCCTGAATTACCCCTACAGTAGTCCCCTCCCAACATACTCCCCCTTGAAGGAGTTTAGACTATAGCTCATATGCAGCCTCTCCTACTGCTTTATTACGGAAATTTCAGAAGCAGACCATCTGGCCAGTGGAAAGTCCCCCTACCCTCCAGCTCGCTGTCGTGGAACTGACCCTGCAGCCAACCGGAACATGCAGGAAGGGCTGACAGTAGGGCTCAGGGTTCAGGAGTGCCTTGTTTGGGAATGCACAACTCGGGGCTTAGTTTACGATCTATGGTGTACGGTTCGGAGTCGCAGCATGTTCGTGCTTGATGCATGCATGCTGTACTGTGGCCACATGACAAGTGCACACGTGCACCACAGGCTCCTCTACTCGGGCTTTACAGAGCGAGAGGTTTGCTGGAGTTCTCAACATGCAGAAACTCTTGTGGCCGCTCGGGACTCGGGAAACATGCAGATTCGTAGGTGTCCTTGCTTAGATGTTGCTTTCAACACTTCGCATGTTAGCCGCGAAGAAGGGCTTCTACCACCTGAATCCGGTGCTGATACTACTGCCTCTCTGAAAAAAGCTGCCTGTCAGGGACTCTAACAAGATGTTTCAAACATCTGCTGCGCTGCGCATGCAGAAGGATAGTGCGCCTCGAACCAAGAGCCATCTGGCAAGGTCTTCTTGCCCTTGCCCTCTATGCAGTTGTGCTGGAAGTCACCTTGCAGGCCAGACGACAGAAAGCTCCAAGCTGTCATTTCTAAAGTCAGAAACCACTTGTGCCAACCCCAAGATACCCCAGTCCTTACCAAGCAGGGATGCATGAATTTCAGAGGAACCACCAGCGGGCCTTTGTAGCAGGATCCGTCGGCCCAGGTGAGCTTGCCCTTGCCCTCTCGGATGCCATCCTGGAACTCACCGTCAGACATTACAAGCTTAGACGAGGCTTCTCCCCCTGTTTAATTGGGGGTCATTATAGGAAGGAGCATATCAGGTTAGGACCATATATTGGCTTGGGAGTTGGATCAACAACGCGCTAGAACAGCACCATGTGAAAAACAAGCCATCAACCCTGTCGGTGGTCAGTAGGGAGTATGATCCAAGTATAATCCCCGTATGACATATTCCCTACTAACCCTAGACCTATATATAGATATAACCATATAAAATGTACATACGCCCTTTTCCCTACTAACCCCCAATCAACAACTTGCCTTCCACTCGCCATCGTACTCTATGCCGTTGGGCCACTTCACCTGCCACCGAAGCCATGCTTTAATCCAAACTTGCTGGTTGTTAGTACGGAGTAAGGGAATATGTATGTGTATGTGTGTATATTATATATATACACACATATATATATATGTACATATGTACATTGGGCTTATAGGGCTGCTGGAAAAAAGAACGGAAACTGCTATGTAGGCTTTGGTGTTTAGGATATCGGGTTACAGACTGGTTTATGGGGATTAGGGTTTCCCAAAATATGTGGTACCAAATTGGGGGGGTCCCTATAATAAGTATTATAATATTTGGGGCCTATATTGTGACACGTATTCGGTCAACTTAGTTGGCGAAACTACCAAATGCGTCCAAACATGGAAGATCACCAAAGGGACCTACATGTCTGAGAAATCCCCACTAGGCTCCTTAAGACTTTCAGATTTTCTCGCCAACGCCAGTCTGGGAAATCCCCAGTCGCTTCCAAATGGCGAAACAACCAAGTCTGTCGTGTACATGCGCTGTAGTGTGAGCTTTGCAGACATGGAGATACTGCTCGTACACATTGTCGTATCACATGTTCTACAAGAAACTGAGCGGCATGAAGTGTAGCACAAACAAATCCTACGTCCGCCAGCCGTTCCCCGCAATGGGAAGGGTGTGCATGTACGGAAGCTGAACCCTTCTGCCGATGTGAATTCTCCATGGCCAGGCCTTGCCCCGGCCATTCCTTGGGATTGGGATGCAGGTGAAGCCAGCTGCCAGCAACAGACAAACTAGATCAAGACAAGCCGCATCCGATTTTGGAGCCATTGGCCGCTGTACACCCATCCCTCCTCTGCACTTTCGAAGGTCCCCTGCCATGCTCAAGCTGTGGAGGGAACATGAAGGCTGCATAAAAGCTGCTTCGAATACTGCAAAGCTGGACCCGCCTCGCCCTCCTGCATGCCGTGCTTGAAGTTGCCAGCATAACGGTCCCCATTCGGCCAAGTCCGAGTTCCCTGCAGAGGACAAAGTCAAGTTACAAAAAGCGGGTTGAGGCCGAGCCTTTCCGTGGAACACGCCCTTTTTCAGGCTGCCGATGTACTCCTGGATCCGAACGAAGTCTGTATCACGGGGGCTTTGCTGCCATCATTGGCAATGGCCTCGCCGGACGGCCAACTCATCTTGCCGTCGCCCCACATCTGATCCTGAACGGCAGAAGGGTTCAAATCAACAGCTCCTCGGCCAGTTTGCTGTCTCTTCCTTGCGCCACTCGCCGTCATAGGTACGGCCCGTTGGCCAGGTCTTCTTGCCATTGCCCCACATGTACCCCTGCAGTTTCGTGCAAGTGGAGCCAGGAGAGGTATATTATATCCCACTGAACCTGCCAGGGTGATAAGGGCGAGAGCCTCGTGGAACTCGCCGAAATACTCACTGCCGTCGCTCCAAATATAGTGGCCCTGAAGCTTGCCGGTATGGTGAACCATCAGTAAGTGCAGCACACCAGCAGTCGTGGAAGGACAGATCTCAATTCCTTTTGATAGCCCTGGCCTCACCGTGCATTCGCCCGTTCAGCCACGTGCCAACCTGGAAGGTGGTTGGCAAAGCAGAGCCGCACAGGGAGCGGGAGGAAACCGAGAAAGGGACGTAGGAATTGCCATTGGAGAAGATTCTCTGATCCTGCACAAGTGCTACAGCCCTTGGCTCTCTGACCCTTTACTTGCAGAGCCTGCAGAGCTAGAATTGTGAATCATCCTGAATCTGATGCATGCTCCTTGACAACTCTATTCGTAGTCAGCTTGTCGCTATCTGGCTTTCGCGGAGTAACCTTTGGGCATCTTTGTTGACTTTCACCACGCATGTGATGATTTGGATACCGGAGCGCTGAGCCGGCTGAGGCGCTGGCAACACCGTGATCGAGCCCTGAGCGCTTCTCAGATATGAAATGCTCGATGTTAAGCGTGTTGTCCTGGCAGCGAACCAGCTTCAGGGCCAGATGTGGCCATCAGTAGCAACAGCAATTCAGCCTTGCGATTCACATGTTCGTCTGGTAACCTGCTGGGCACCTCGTTCACGCAGAATGCTGAGCTCTGGAGCTGCATTTGTGGAGTCCTTGCCTGTTGTCTACCTGGACGAGCTTCTCTCAGAGGAAGTCGTGTTCCACTGTAGCCATCTGCCTCAGATACTGCTGGTTCAAGGGAAAATCTTCACACGACCTCAACTCCTCAGCGACGAGCACGCGCGACTGTGGCCATGTTGGCTGCCTGCAGAGTCGGCCCAGAACACGTTTGAGTCTAAATCAAAAAGTCAAGGCTCCCGGCAGGGCGTCGGGCAGATTGCTACCCAGAAGCTGAGCCACATATCATGCCAAAGACAAGTCATCTATGTTGCATGCCAGCGATGTTGCAAAGAGTGAACAGTGCGAGGTATCTACTGCAGGATCAAAGTCGATGTGATCCAGAGGTCAGAAGACAAAGACATCCATTGAAAGATGGAACGTACGCTTACGAGGGACACAGTGAGCACAGGAATACAGGCAGAAGACATCACAGGAGCTCGTCTATGGCTCATCCTTTCAATTTGAATCACTTCTCTGCTTTCTGGCCCCGAAGGAAAATTACATGTTCTGCTTGCATACTGACTCTGCCGAAAATCATGTGAGTCGATAGCTTCGTCTTAACTGGTGTCTGAGCGGTCTTCAGCAGGAACTTTTAATTTAGATTTTGCTGCAGCATTCTGCCACGTGCCCAATCGTTTCCAAGACACGTACTCTGGATTGGGGAAAGAACCATCGCCAATTTAGAATGCTACTAGTGTCATCTTGTTGGCGGTCCTGTTGTTGCCTTCCGCATGTATTTGAACACCGCGCACATGCGAGTCGGCCGTTCCCCCCCCCTTCCCCCGGTGTGGCAACAGGGCTGGGCATCTGCCTCCAAATTACTGTGGGAATTTGCCCAAAGCCAACATGACTGAGGGCCTAACCTAATGACAAGTCTTCTTTCAACTCCCAAGCAGGCCAAGGGCATCTCCACGCATCTCCCCAATCTGTCTTGGTGGAGCTTCTTGCTTCAGACTTGTCTCGACAGTCAGTGAGTCGGTAAGTCAGTCAGCCAGGAAGGAGGCGCATGGACGTATTGGCTTGCTCTGTTTGATGTAAGACTATTTTTTTGTTGCAAGCCTGGTTACGTTCGGGTGACCACTCACCGATCGAAACGCCCTGTTTCCACATCTCGGTCTCCACATGTCTCCACCCATATCTCACCCATGTACTGGCAACAGGCTGCATTGATCGAGGATCAAAAGATGATTGATGTATCGGATGCTCAAACGGTTGCCTCAGAACCTTCCCAAACATTCAAAGTTTGTGATATAAGAGCATATCGGTAGCAGCACGGTGGCTGGCTTGGCGGATGACTTCCGCGTGAAACAAGTGCCGCAGGGATCCCAAGAATGCGTAGGCGTCGGTTTCAAAACAAAGCCAACCGCCCTTGTGTGCTTTGCAGTTGGCATACACTGCCAGAAAAGCAGCTTTTGCCATGCCAATTGGTCGGCCAAGCTCATGGCCAGGTAAGCCAGCATGGTGAATGTATCCACAAACCGGAAGATGTTCAAAGGAGACCAGAACTGACAACCCGGCGCAATGAGACTCGCATCTCGATGATTCTGTTACCATGGCTTGAGTAAGCTACTTCATGCACCTAAGCCAATCTGAACCCTTTTGCCAGCAGTTCTTGTCTGTTGGCGGCCGTTATTTACGTTTGCAGTCTATTGCTGCACAACTGCCTTTGGCAGAAACTAGTTTTCTCTTTGTACATGTGTGTACACATGTGAAACTTTGGGTCCAGGACGCGGCAGTTGGAATGCCTTTGAATCTTCCAATTTCAATCTTCCGCCGCTCTTTTTCCTTCTATCCCTAGGTGTTGGCTTGGGCTGAGGTACACAGGCACAACTGCTTTGCCACTGGGGCGCTACACTGGCCCCAGGCAACGCATGAATGTGTTCAATTGCCGCAGCCTCCGAGTCAAGCAATTGCCGATTCCCAAACTTTAGCGTCATAGCAGCAGCAAGACAATTGAGGTGCATGCCCCATGGGTAGACGCCGCACGGGGGTATAAAGCTGTGGAGGCACCCGCGTGTACCTCAACGTTCAGAATTCAGAATCATCCGTCTTGGGCATGAAGTCAGGCAATGATAAGCAGCAACACAAGACATGAAGCAAACTCTAAGGAAGCTACCGCTTGGCACATCGGCCCAGCATCAGCCGACAAAGCCACAGCACGAGTGGGATGAAGGCCGAGACCTCAAGCAACACACCCGCGATCCCGTTCCTACACCTAATCCGAACTGGTTGAATTGAATCGTAAGCATCACCAAGATTCTCTTGTGCCTACCCACTATGCTACTGACATTTAAGAGGTGAAGTACTCAAACCATTCCTGCCGCCTTCCTGAACGGACGTGCCAGTGCAAGTCCACAGTCTCTGGGGACCTGACCCTCAAAAGCTCGTTGTGAAAGCAATCCTGCAGCAAACTTCACGTTTCGATTGAAGAAGGGGAGCCTCTGAAGCAGCCTGCTCTTTGACACAGCTTCGCACAACCAAATCAGCCAGATGGCACGTGAAGAGTTCTACCCTTCAACTCAGAAGCCATGAAGGGCGGCCTCCATCCACTTCAGCTCGAAGATGGCGGGGATGTAGGTTATTATCTGATTGACAGCCATGGAGGTGATTTGAATCTTCAGGGTAGGCCCGAATCTTCAGGAACACTTTTGAGGCTGCCGCCATAATCCAACTGAATAAGCCCAAGCTTGCAAGGTCTGCAAGATTCTCCTGCGGGTAGACCGTGAGTAAGCAAGGCTGCAAACTGAGACTGGCCAAAGGAAGGCACCAGCGTAGGTAGATTCTTGCAGAAGAAGCCGGCTAGCTTCTTCAAGATGCCAATCTTGATGAGATTCTCCTTCAAATGGTACAAGTCAGCCCGCAAAAAGGAAAGTCACATAAAGGCTTCGCTTCTCAAGCGCAGCCCAGGCATCTAACTCAGAATCTTTGGGACAGTCCTTAACCCAAAACATCCCTGCAGACCCGCAGCACAATCCCTGCATAGCCCCCACATCCATCCACAGATGTGCCTTTTTACTCTGCTGATTGGTATCCCATCCTCCGTCAGCGACCCGAAGTACGCCAAGGCCAGGCCAAGAATGAAGGCGACTGCCGCCTGGGCTTATGCATGCAAGCATGCATGCATGCATTGGGTACTGCCCCCACCCAGTAACAGTCCATATTAGGGGTCCTATTAAGGGCTATATATAACCATATTATACTTATTATCCAACTGTTATTGAGTGGGGGCAGCATCCAATGCATGCATGTATGTATGTGTGCATATGCGCGGGTACTTGTACGTATATCTTTGAACATGCATATACATGTATGTACAGAGATATGTAAATACATATCCATCGTAAAGTTGACATGTTGGTGTATGCAAGTAAGCATACGTGTAAGTATTCACGTGTGTGCATATCTGTGCATATCTCTATATATACATGCAGCATGAACATTTGTACACATATCTGTCTATACACACACATGCATGTTAGCGTACGACGCACACACATCATTACATAAAGGACATAGACTGCATGCTACTCTAGGAACAGTCTCATGCACATATCTTCTTGATTCTACCTGAGTTCATCTATTTTTCGAAGCTCCGACGCCTGGGAGAAGTTGACGATCATGCTGACGAACAAGACCGTCTCGGCTGAGCAAGCCCCGCAGTGCGAACACCTTGGACCATGATGAACTGGTAGTTTCCCTAGGGGGATAATGGAAAAGAAAGTGGACACTACTATATTATAATAGCGTATGAGTATATATTGGGTTATAATAAGGAATAATGGGACCCCAAGAAAGACCCCAATATCATATAGTCCTTATTATGGGGACCCCCAGAATGGTATCCCTAATTTTGGGAAACCTCCATAGTTGCTTCCACACAGCGGCAAAAGACTGCAGGACCCCATTCTAATAATACTACTAATAACAATAGCAACAGCAAAGTGCTGCTTCTAAGGCCCGCTCACGCACTCCTTGGTGCTCTCCGGCTGGTTGCCCCTGGGACAGCTCGATGCAGTGCAACTTGCTCGTGGTGAGGATGGAATAATGGAATATAATCCCTATACAAGCCCTGTATAGTCTTTTCCCTTCTTCCCTACTAAGCCCCAGTAGGTGTAAGAGATCTGCAGAACCAGTCGTGAATGCTTTGTGACGGCTCACCCTACTTATCCACTCTGTGCCGTAGAGGTCTTGAACTCAAACTTGACACGGAGCATAACTCACAATTTTGCTGTCAGGCTTCGGCCAGATCAAAGAATCTAAGCTTGTCCCGACAACACTCTGTGACGCTGCTCGCTGTCCTAAAACACGCTTCCGGCATGTCAGCCAGCAAATTAAATCCACTCTCGATCACTCTCACTTTGCCTTTATAGGCCTCCTTTATGTGCCTCTGCTGTGTCTTCAGAGCTGCCAGGAAAATCAGAAAAGCTGTGCGAAGCCCGGCCTACACACTGCGCCGCCGCATTGGACGATGCGCGTTTGCAGCCCAGGCATGCACTGCACAGCCAGGGCAGCATGCAATCCGATAGACTTCGTGTTGCCAAACTACAGGACAATGGTGGCTTCCATTGGGCTGCTGAACTTGATTACAGTTTTGCACTCACTGAATCTGGGTGGGAGTTTCCTTGCCTGCTCAAAGCATGTGCAGGTCGACCATTCGCCAACGGTCCACGCCGGAGCGTCATTGTTTACCTGTAGAACTCTGCACATTGAACTCCCAATCTACTCAGTCCGTTACCAGTTGCAGCCTGAAGCTGCCGTGATGGTGCAGAAGACAAGCTGTCCCAAAAGGACACCTGCCAACGAAGTCAAACGAGCAAAAATCTCAGTGCATTATGTGCAACATGTCCTTGCCTCGGTCATCTCCTCTTGCCAGGACGGTGTTTTGCAGGGAGGCCCTTCCCTGGCACAACTGCAAGTCTGCATTTTTAGGAAAGGCTCATGTGGGTGATAGTGTGTGCAGGCAAACCAGACCCCCTCAACACAACAGGCTTCGTCAAGCCCCCACTTTGCTTTCTCTGGGTTCCGCATGGTTCCGTAGCATGTGGCTCCCCCCCCTCCCCCGCAAATGATTCAGCAAGCCTCCGCTTTCCCTGAGCATCCCCCCCGCTTGGGGCAAGTCAGGGCATCAGCATGTTGCGTTCAAACTGAGATCCCAGAAACTGACGGCCAGGCTGTGCTGAAAGTAAGTTTTTGTGTTCAATCCCTTACAGCAAGAAAGAGAACCCTACAGGATGGCATCCTGTGACCCCTGAAAAAACGCCTGGGGAGGCTGCTAAACAAACACATTGAGCCAAACTGTTGATGCAATGACTGTTGCCAACTTGGCCACGCGCCCCCAGCATATGAACAGAGTCCCCAAATATATTGAATTCACGACCTGAGGATTCCAACTAGGTGTGCACATGTTAATTGGCAATTTCTTCTCGTAGGCGCCCACCTTTGCACATTCCTGATGATGCTGCTTTTTTGCTGAGGAATCATTATATCTCGGCGATTCCCTTTTCTGTATGGTTGCGCCATCGTGCGCACATATGGTGCGTCTTCAGCTCCCCGCACATCACCTCCCTGCCGCTGCGAGCCAGGCAGCCGAGGCAAACGCTCGCTGGCGATTACAATTGAGAAGCCTCTTCGGGTCACCCCACGAAAAGCGTGTCTTCATTTTGACGACCCAGGTAGCTTCAGCTATGTTTGGCTGTTTGTTTCCACTAACTGGCCAAAGTGCGTCTTTGGAGCTGCGAGAAGATCCAGGCGTCTGGTGCCTGTGCGCAGGGTCAGCCAGCAGGACATGATTGTAGCCACTTCATGTCATCACCATGATATTCTGCCACGACCCCTGCTATTACTATTGCAAAAATCTTCTACTCTTCCTGTAACTATACTTTTGCATAGCTGCTGCACAGCTGCCTGTCGAGTTGCAAAAGCCTCAATCACACTTGCGTGTTCGCCATTGCCAAGGTTTGCTGGAAGCTGAGACTTCGGCTTGGAGTGGTACCGTATTTCCCACATCCATCATTCCTGGCAGCTTTTTTATTCATGAAACCGTCTCACTAAGGAGCAGCGCGACTGAGTACCACTAATGAAACATGACAAACCCAGATATCACCTGTGATGTGTGGATGCTCAGATGGAGCGGAACTAGGTGCACTGCAAAAGACGCTCACCGCAAACGCTGTCGATCTCCGCCTGCACCTGTGATCAGACATTTGCAAAAGGGTGTACAGTGTGCCGCCAGGGACTTGAAATGCAATAGCTCTGTGCTCAAGCCAAGGTTGTAGCTGTGGAGGTGATCGTGCCCAGCAGACCCGAACACGGACACGAGTCGGCAATGGCAGCCCTTAGGAAGCAGAGGCAGCTTGTAAACAGAGCTGCTTACACTACAGGGCTGCGAGCCCACAAACCGTGAGCAAAGCTGCCTTTTGCATTATAGAAACCTCGAAGTAAACTGAAGTGCTAAAGGCAAAGGCGTGCATTCCAAGGCTCTCTTCCACTCACAGGCGTACGGAACATAATCAAACACGCTGTAACTGAGCCATGTGGCGACTTGGTGTTGTAGGTGTTCGTGCAGTTGTTCCCGCCGTTCTCTAGATCCGGCATGAGATATAACTTGGCCACAGGGGAGGAGTCACTGCCATGCATGACTCTGCAGCCATTTCTTGAGGCAGCCAATACGCCTAGCTGAGTTCAAAACCGCGTTTGCCAAAACGCGACAACTTAGAATCTTGCAGTCCTGCGGAACTTTTGCAGAACAGCAATCTAAAGGCTCATTCCACGAAAAAAGGCTTTGCTTTCCTCGTTCACCGCCAAGTTCGCATCGCTGTTCCGTGTGTGAATGAGATGGATCGCATCCACCTGCAGCTTGCGCGAGGCGCAACTCCTCCTCCATGCTCATTTTACTACCGCTCCCGCTGCAGCATCGCAGCTGCACAAGGAGCCACAAAGCAAGGCATCTGGGTCTCGGACAGGACTTGTGGCAAACTTCATCATGTCCAGGCAGGCCTGCTTGCATCTTCTTCCAACGAAATCTCTGAATACTGAGGCTAGGTTGTGTGACAGGGGCTTCACTAGAGAGACTCCAGGTCGTACGAGCCATTTTGCTTGAGTGACTCAATCGAACAATCTTGCTCACTTGCCTTCCACATTCTTACCAAAGTCTCGAAAAGCGGGGTACCGTCTTGCCGGTCAGAGTGCTCCCAGCCTTGTTGAGCGAAGCTCCAAGAAAGGCCTGCCAAGCCATGCGGGTCATTATCAAAACTATGGGCCCTGTTGGGTGGTAAATTTTATTATGGCACCTAATATGTAGGACCGTAAGTTTGGGAACTACCCATGTAGTAAGTGGAAAGTTCACGGGAGTTCCGTGCTTGCCATCCCCACCCACCTGGTTGTAGGACTTCTTCGCGGTGTTGGCCTCCTGGCAGCCAAGGCCACATTTGAGTAGTGTTTTTTTGGTGGTTAAACCTAGTAAGATCATATTCCTTATCTAAAATACTATACCCCAAAAGGAGGATATAATCTTACTTTATATTGGGTACCATAGTATCCCCAAATAAAATACTACTCATTTGTTGTTTCTTTTGCTGTGTCTAGTGTTCAGGCGTCCTGCGTCCAGGTGAGGTTCATTGCACCTGAGTTTCCATCCACGACTCTGGCAGATCAGATCTCATGGCATGCCTACATCATCTGAGTGTATGGCTTTTTTGGAAGTTAAGGTACAACCGCAGGATGCAGCTTAGATACTGCCAAAACATTCGCTGGCCGGGCAGAGCAGCAACATGTCCGGGCAATCTTCGGTACAATCTGTCCTGGCACGGCACGGGCTAGAGCACGCTGTGGAGGCCAGGCTGGTACTGAACCATTTGTTCTTGTGAGCAAGACGAGGCCCGGACCCGTTAGGTCTCACCTGGCAGTTTCTTGGGCATTGAGGTAGACCCAGTCCAGAATCCCGCTGATGCATGGAAGATACTTCAAGCATCGCGCAAAAAACTCAAGCACATCTGATCCAGGGTTTCTAGCCCCGCTCCCCCCACCCCCTCCCTATGGTATGGGTCCCCCCTACCCTGTGGATCCTGTGGTTCTTGTGGTCCTGTGGTGCTTGTGGTTGTCCCCCCACACCCCCTGTGGTCCCTGTGCTTCTTGTGGTCCTCCCTGTGGTCCTGTGGTGTTGGTGGTTCTCCCCCCGGTCGTCCGTGTGGTTCTTGTGGTCCTGCGGTGTTCGTGGTTCTCCCTGTGGTTCCTGTGGTTCTGGTGGTATACCAGGAAGTAGGTGTATTCGTCGTAGATGATCCTGCTTCATACCCAGTATTTCTTCTGACGCTGTTACCCTAATTCTTCTAATGATGTTGGCCACAGGTTTATTTGGAGGTTCCCGGGATGTAATGCCAATTACGCTAGAGCCTAAGTAGAGCTATAGCCCCAGGTATCAACGGCACGAAGGTCTAAGAGTGACGAGTCACAAGGATCGCAACCCCATCCATGTGACTGTTGGCACTTTTCAGACACCACGGCCACACTAGGGTCCAACACTGATGAAAGTTACAAGGATTGCGACGCCAGGGGGCCTCATCCCTGTAACGGTTGGCACTTTTGAGACGCGACGAAAAGATGGCAGCTCTACGACGACTTCTGAGAGGTTCGGGCTGACCATACCATTGGGGGAGGGGATCATATATGCCCACCCCAAACTGTCTGTAGTCTAGTTGCTGCCAATGCTGACTGCCAACATGGTAGCTCGTGCAACTTCGTGGTAAAAGGCAAAGCTCAGAACGGCAAGTCATCGTGCCAAACAGAGCACCAAAGCAAGCACCACTACCTACTCATACAAGAAGCTTCAAAGGCCGAGCCACATGACAAAAAGCCACTGTTAATCGCGGCAGGGTTTGTGAATGTAGAATACCTGAGACCCGTCAAGCTGTAGGTGGTCTGCCAAGCGCCCAGCATTAAGCTTAGTGCTTGGCCTGTTGCCAGGTAGAAGAGGCATGCCCTCCCACGGCGGAGAGCTTCCATCCGCAAGGAGTCATGCCCGATCGGCTATCATCTCGCTTGCTCAGCTGCTAAGCTCCCGTCCAAAAAAAGTAGCCAGCGGTGTCCGGCACCAACACAACCTGTGAACATTTATCCAGGGTGACAGGCCACTGTGGACACCAGACTCTTGACAAGCCTGAAGTCTATGGATAAATCTGTCATCATCAATTGCATCAACGACTAACAGCAGCTGCCATCTGTCAAGAAAGCTTTGCCCGTCCTAACACACACCCTGGTCCACCCCGTTGCCTTCACCACGCTGATGATCCTCCTGCAAAACGTGGTGCAAAAAGTACGGCACAACATCGGAAATAAACGAACCTTACAGCTGGCGTCAGCCTGCGGAGGGCTATACCTGAATGAGCATACCTCACCAAATGCATTTTCACCCCAACTGCAGTCTTCCCTGCGTCCTGAGTAGGAGGGGTTTGGACTTCTTCACCCCATCATCCTGCAGGCACTGCGTCACCAAAAGGATCAACAATTTCCCAACCTCAACCCGTAATACTGGCAACGCTGGGTTCGGGTCCTGCTGCATCTTGTCTGGACATGTGGAAAGAAAAAACGAGGCCTTCTATCCTTCACGCTGCCTTGCAAGAAAATCCCTGGACTTGACAGCCGCTATGATGTGCGCACAGCTCCTGCATCTTTCGTAGGAAGGTGCTAAGTGCTGCTGCCGTGTTTGAGTCATGGTTGCTTTCTGTAAATTGCCGTTCTTGGCTCATTTTGATTGACAGCAAAGCTTGAGTTTCACAAGCCTGCAATGTGGACACGTACGTCTCACTGAGGTAGCATGTCTGGACTTGGCAGTACCGGACATGACTCTTCCTGGTCAGCATGATATCCGTGTCACTTGGCCGCACTCGAGCGCAACCGCGAGAACGCAACACTTAGGAAGCCTTTCTTCACCTCCTGCTACACTTTATCCCCATCAAGACACGGCTTGTAGAACTATCACGCCGGCTACAAGACTGCAAGAATTCAAAGCTGTGTTTGTTGCAGAAATTTGGTCAACAGAGCCTGCAGGAAGCGTTGACCATGAGTACATGACAGCATTGATATGGTCTCATGAGTCTCATGTTTTTCTCCCCGCGACGTGCTCCAAAAGCAATTTCTGGAGCTCCACAAAGCTGCCAGTCAGGTCCACGAAGGTCCAGAGATGTCCATGTGGCGATCTTCTGGGCAGCTGCCTGAACAGGCAATGGCATGCCTGGCGAGGCATCCAAAAGCTCCTCTAAAACCACTCGCGCATCTTCCTGCCAGCCACCCTCACTGCTGGCCAGTCGTTCAAGGACATCCCGCGTGCAGGGCCTGCCCAGGTCGCAAAGAGACTGCAGAACCTGCTGTTCAGGCAGAGGCTGTACCTGAAACGTCTGGAGGTCTCGAAGAGCAGGCTCCCGAACACGAGTTCGTGCCACGGACAAGCCGCTCAGGAGCCCGTAGGCATCCAGCATGTCCAAGCCACCAGTGGACGCAGCATGTGCGCGACGTGATGCTGCACTTGTACTGGTGCATGCGAAAGCTAGTTGCTTGCTGGTCTGTCGCAGAAGACCCTGCAGAAGCACAGAGCCTGCTGGTTGCCCTGAAGTCTCCACTGCTTCCACCGCACTTGTTAGGCCAATTGCATCGAGAGTCGTGTTATTCAGGATCGCCAGAGCCTCCATCCAACGAGCGCTTTGTCTGCAGCTTGTCAAAAACGAACCATATCCCACAGCATTGATTTGCCAGCTGTACTTGCTAATGAGGAGATGCAAGGCAAGCTCCCACCTTGAGGCTTTCTCACAAGCACTGAGTGTAGTGTTCAAGCTCACAGAATCTGCGTGTCCACGTGCAAGGGCTGTAGTCAACAGGTTCAATGCCATGGCCCAATCATTGGACTTCTCACCTGAGTCCGCAGCTTACACAGATCTGACAGCTGTAACGGTGCTGATCTTATGGTTGCTGCAGTGCAGTGCTTGCGACTCCTGCTTGGGCAGTGACAAGCGCTGATGCAGGCGCTATAGGCGATGGCATCAAGCGGGAGGCTTGCGTTGGCCATGTCTTCCATTAGCTGCAGGGCCTCACGGTTGCGCCCACCCTTCTCACAAGCAGTGATAGCCTCAGCAAGTTGAGTATGAACATGCTTACATAAGATGCGAAAATTCTTGCAAAGCGCCATCCCATAAGCTGCTGACGATGCTGAAGCTTGCAACATCTGGCCGTGCTGCGCCTCCTGAAGGACAAACGGTATGTGCACGAGCATGGGACTGCACTGCATCCTAGGGCATTGTCAGGGCGCCTTTTGTGACCATCATTGCACCGAGCAAGCCCAAAGCGCTTTGCCATTGAGCTGCGCGTGCACAAGCCGCAATGGCTGCATTGTAGTTGACCACGTCCTTTCTTGCAGCACTTTGCCAGGCAAGACTTGATAAGCCAAAAGAGCCAAAACAGAAGCCCAGTTGCAGTATGAATTCTCCGCCGGCATCCAGCATCAAGGACTTGTAGGGCCTTTTCCCACCTTCCAGAAGTTGGGGCTTCAAGATAGCTGCAGTATCGGCTGTGTGAGACTGGAAGGTCTGAACATTGTAGCTTTGTACTGTAAACAGCTACCAATATCCTGTGGAGGTCCCTCTAACCACTTAAGGAGAGCATAATGTGGGTATAGTCCCCCTTAAGTAACTAGAATATGGCTTTGGGTATATTATAATAAGATCCCCATTTACCCAATATTCTATCTACTTAAGGGGACTATAATACTAATTTAGGCTTCTACAGTACAGTTTGGGCTTCGGGCTGGTTTGCAGGCCTGGCAGCCTCCGTACAAGCTGCAATCGCTGAATTTAGAGCTGCACTTCCAATGTTGGCTGTCCGAAGGACAGGGTGCTCTGCATCAGGGTCTTGCATTGGAACGGCAGTGGACTGGAAGGCGAATATCATGCCGCAGGCATGCCTCAGATGGGCTATAATCTAAACTCCTAGCATGCCCCTTCAGATCCCCTAGAATACTCCCCAATGATTCCCAATGATCCCCTGGCCAACCCCCCCTTTAAGAAGTTTAGATTACAGCTTAGATGGGAACACCAAGGGCAGGTCAGGTACTCTTCCTGCTCATGTTGCCAAGCTGCCTCCACTGGCCGGCTTTTGCAAGTACTCCCAAGATGTCAAGCAACCTTTGCAAGACAGCTGCAGATCTAGTATGGCTCTCCTGAATCCATGCGGTTCCTGCATCTCTTATGCTCGCCTAGCAGCAGCTGGGATGCATCCTTCTGTGAGGCATTGCATCTGGAACTGTCCTGGAAAATCTTCAGCGCCATCCTTGCAGTGCATTGCAAGCAGCACACTCCTAGCCCAGAATCTTCATCATGCCCCGCCCCAAAGTAGTGTTCAATGGCCCCTGGACAAACACAGACCGGACACCCAAGCGTGCAGGCGTCAGGACAAGCCCAGCCCGAAAACACCCCAGAACGCGGCAAGAAGTGACAACCTTCAGTAGACCGGGCGGCCACACCACTTGAGAGGCAGCAAAGCAGCAAAAGGTGCAGGTAAGCACTGCCAGGAAGCAAATGCTTGAATAGTCAATCTGGCATCGATTGCATCTCTTTCTGGGAGAGTTGTTGTCAACTAGCAGCAGAACATGCTCCGGCTCAAACGGGTACTTTCTGAAAATTGTGATGCTGTCACCCTAGTCTTGAGGAACACCAATCTGGATGTCCTAGACCAAGATAAGGTACTGCCAATTCGCCGCTCGACCGCAGGCCCGAGCTGCCGCAGCGTAGCAGCCCGCATCCCCCTCTGTGCCCAACGACAAGAGCAGTGCCTTGCAACAGCTGTTGCATCAATGAGCACTTGTGCCCGGGCCCCTTCTGATTCAAAGCAATGTGTCTCAGCTCTGGCCTTCTGCCAGTGGCTGGCCTCAAAGGGCATGAAGGCAGAACAGAGGACAGCACAATCCCATAACCTTCTTCTTCTTCTATAGGCTATGCAAGGCCCGAAAGCCTTGCCGGGGCGCACCCCGAAGCCCGCGAGCGGTTCAATCCCATAACCTCTCTTCCCTTCTTTTTGACGCTTTCATGAATCTTGGGAAGTTGTAAATGTTGGGATGGTTGGTGCCACTGCTTTGGGTTGTTTACAGAAGGCAGGACAAGCTCACATTTGGCCTTCAAGCAGGCATCCATGGCAGCCCGGAGCGTTGGTAGCGCTGATGGATGCCTGGCAGCTGGGTTGGGCTACACAGCCTCTTTGAGCGAAAGCTTTGCAATATTATCTTTTGAGATCTAGTCTTGAAGAACCTCTACGGAAATCGCAAGGCCCGGCTGCCTGTGCAAGAGGGATAAGGCACCAACCCAGTGGCTACCAGCGGCACCTGCGCGAAACTGCTTGCTGTTTCTGCTCCACTTTCCCAGCACCACAACTGGACCACAACCAATTGCGCTTCCTAGTCCTGTCCAGTTCTGTTCCACTCGAGGCACAAGCCGCCGCGCAGGCATTCCAGGCCACTGCATCGGGCACCAGGGATGCGTCGGGAAGCTCCTCGAGCAAGGCCACCAAAGCCCTGCCAGAGGGCTAGCGTTGATGTCTTTCGCTCTTTTTGTAGCTTCCTCTCCACTCGCAACTCAACACCAGGTGCCTAGACCACCGACTGGCGCGGATCAGCGCCGAGGCCACAACCGTAAAGTCCCTGGTGCTGCGCAGCCATCCGCGCCTCAGATCATATCTGGATCGCAGTTCCCTCGCGTTGCCTGGTTCCCTCTAGCTTTAGACGAGAAACCTACTGAGTTCTTCGGCTGCACAAACAGCTTCGGCCCGGTGCACAGCATTCTTGGACTTGCTCTCTTCCGGACGAATCTTCGCAAATAAATTCCTGCGGGCCGCTTCTTGGCCTCCTTTGGCCTCTGCTTGCTTTGCTTTTGCACCACCAGTGCCAGCGCGGGAATTGGAAAAGCCTCTTGCCAACGGAGGCAGCCGCACTGGGGGCGCCAACCTGCACATTCCAGAGCAGCGCCATCAGGGCCATGCCGGCTGGACAAAGGTGGCCTCCGAATTCCTGCCATCCGTGCACTCTTCGGCAAAGAACGCTCTGCGAGAACATCGATGGGTCACCGTTAGATTTCTTAGCTGTCTTCAGATGCTCTGTATGCTGTTGCATTCTGCGTTATTTGCTACTGCAAGAAAGCTGCATTTTTCGATGCTCTGCAATGTTGATCTGAGCTGGCCGAGCCATGGCCAGATTTAAGCATGCATGACAATACCACTACCTTGCCGCACGCTCACACGAAGTCGTCAGCGTTTGGATTTTGACACCGATGCAAGTCACTGCATCTTGCACTCTTCCTCGGCTGACATACCGAAGCTCTAATGTCAGCCATGGACAACCTGTGCAAGATGCTGCGGAATGCTTAGCCGGCTGCAGGCTGGCTAGCAGGAGTGGAGGGCTTGCTCTTCCTGCAAGCTACTAACATCCTAGCTGCGAAACGTTCAGGCTCAGCTGTAAGGCTCCGGCTTCCCGCAAACTTCCTCCTCCTCTTCGGAACCCTCTGTAGCTACAGCACGAGCTTTGAACTTGTGTCCTGTGCCCAAGCAGTTCGCATCCCGCGCATGATGCACAATTCTACCGCTTAGTTGTGGTGCGACAGCTGAGAGTTCGAGGTGCACCGGGTCCCGGGCCAACACCTGTTTGCGGCTGATCAAAGGATGTCACTCCAAACAAGCTGGGGACAACGACCTTGGCTGACATATGCTCCTAGTAACACGCAAAAGCATGTCGGAACATGCCGCTCAAGTGCAGTCCCTCTAAAAGCCCGTGGCCTAAACAGGTTTTGGAGGCCCTACCCTCATTGTACATTTCGGGGCCCTGGAAATGTACAATCACCCCAGCTGGAAATGTACAACATCAG